AACACTCGAGTACCGCAGGAAAGCTCGGCTGTTATGTCCACGACAAGCAAACCTACGAACCGACTGTATAAAATCTACTCATGGTCTGAACATTTTGAGATCTAAAGAAAAAATGTCGAGACAGTATCGCGACATCGCTCCACAGGTTATGGTTCTCCCAACAGGCCGAACTAGGTACGAAAAAAGGACCAACATCAACGATAAGTCGTAAGGAGGGTAGCAAGTTGATGTCGAAAAGATTACCGAAGCAACCAGGTCCGACTAGTAGCGACCTGTTGTCCACGGAGAGCAAAACGTACAAGGTTGTCAAGAGGACACCAAGGTACAGAAAAAACAATCTATAACCTTTGACAAGAGACTAGACTAAAAATAGGAAAGGGAACTATAGACGACAACTCGGACCGCAGATTCGCAGATCAGAAGTTGAATCAAACAAAACACTGTTACAAGAGATTAATAAAATAATTGAATAGTTTTCTTACTTCGTGCATTAGAAGGACTGATCGTGGAAGCAACGACAAGCAGGGCTTGAAAACTTTTTTTTTAAATCGAACGAGTTTCCAAAATATTTTTAAAAAAAAAATTTCAATATCTTAATTAAAAAAAAAAAATTCAAAATCCATTTTTATAATTATTCAATTAATTATATATTTACAATACGTTTAATTTTATACTTTACAATTTTATTTCACATGGCACATACCAAAACTGAACTTTATACTTATATCCAAGTTTAGGTTTAGAGGACACATGTCACGTATGGCTTTACATACTTTAATACGTTTACAGGAAGTTGAACCACAATCGAAGTTATTCACCACAAATTATAAGATGTCAGATCCTAATACAATTAATACATTTCAAAGAGTAGAATATTAATCTTTGGTGAACGTTAAAGATAAGACCGCTAAGTTCGAATACAACATAAATATTGTGATTTTAACTATGAAGTGTTACACATACCACAAAGAACGATAAACACAATTATTAGGACATGATGGTTGGGTCTCACGCGATAAAATTAAAGGATTCGAATTAGGGATCCTTATCGACAACGTTTTGACTGCACAAAAATTGTTCCTCTTTGAAATAAAAAGGAATTTTATAGAATTTTTCCTTTTTAATGTGATACCAATTTGTTGTGTCGTGCATTGGCGTTATTGTGTAAAGTCGGTCCTTTAAAGTTTTTTTTGGCGGTTTGTGTAAAACGGTCGTCTTAATGTCAGTATTTAGGCGGTTATTGGAAACGGTCGTCGTTATGAAGTTTTGAAACTTTTATGTTGTTTAGGAAGGGAAATTATTAGGGTTTTAACTAAGGTCGGAAGATAAGGTGACACTGGTTCTTCATAATAAGCAGAGTGTTCTACCTCCTAGTCCTTTTACGAGTAACTCCTTTGGTCGACGGTATTCTTTTTCTTTCCTCCACGGAAACTTAAACGTAAAGGCTTTACCGCACGGTGCATAAACAACAAGGTGTTACACCCCCATTTGTCTCTACCGTTGGCTAATATAGCGTCAGACTGGACATCTGTTTCTGTAAACAGGACGGCGAGAGTCTGCACCCTCAAATTGTTACCGCTCCCTAGAAATTTGTTTGGCATTGATTCATTTGGTGACACACCATAATATTGGTGGGACTTTAGGTTCGGTTTTGTTGTGAACAATTTTATTGTTTTAAAGATAGATTCAAATGATACTTTTTTCCCCGGAAATAGAATAACTTATAGTAGGAATTTTCAATTCCTTGGGAATGCTTGATCGATATTTGGACAAGTGTGCATTTATTAACTAGAAATTCAGCTGATAACCAATCTGACAACGATAAACCTGTGCGGTTTGGCCCTGTTATACCTCTGGATAGTCCGTTGATTATTATCTGGGCGAGCAGAATAATGAGCGTAGACGACAACATTAAGCTTAATGGCATTGGGTGGACGTTTATAGGAACAAATTTGTGTTTGTCTTGTCAAAATTGGTGACTATTCCGAATCTGGAATTTGGTTCGGAAAAGAACTTTTACTGAAAGAATTTCGTGACTGATATCCAATGAATTGGGACTCAATTAAACTATACGGGACGACCAAAAGTGAATGAGCCGGGAATTGGTCTAAGCGATACAGAGGGTCTAGGAATTGTTTTTACAGTTTACCCGATATATGGGAATGCAGTATCCGATTGATTGATGTGCTTGTTCTCTTGTGATACACTTTTGTCGTTCGTTGTAGGCTTCATGTTACAGGTGTGGTAAATATAAATTTTAAGTTGTGGGTGTGTACCAATTATCGTACGTCCCAAATTACCTTGTTTTCTTTCCACTTGAGGTGGGACGGAACACTGTTTTGTTGCGGAGCACCAAAATCTCACTAATAAATAGTTAAACCCAACAAAATAATAATTTTACGTGTCGATAAAAGACCTAGGCGGCCGACGGCAGTTTGTGTGTCTTAGATTGTAGACGGATCAAATTGATCACTTCTTAGTAAACAGTACTTGTCCGTAGAAGGCGGCTAACTAAACTCGAGAACACACAGCTTACCGACGTTCGCAGAGGTCCTTTGTCGGCCAACCAAGAGAGGAGCCAGTTCGGCCCTAGGTGTCAGCCCTCTTGTGGTCATAACATTCTGTGACATTTTGTCATAATAAGGGGCGGTCCTTCTCTTCGAAATTTCCTCTGATTTAACCTCAGAGACACTTTCAAGTATAACCCATGAAATTAATTTTTTCTGAGCCCAACCAGTGTTCGTACTATAACAAGTCAGTGCTGTTTGTCGACACTAAGGGCGAGGAGCAATCCCTTTCTATCTCCGGCTAGAGAGGGAGGCGCCACGACATATATAGGAGACGACCGGGAGGCGGTCGGCCGAGCGGGAGCAGAGGGTTACAGGGCAACAAACGTAAATTTGTCTCCTAAACGCCCCAAGAAAAAGTGTACGTTGATATACGATTGTGCGGAAAAGAGGAGTATAAGAGAAAGTAGGTGAAAAGTTACATTGTTTAAGATTTTGCGACATTAGTTGAGATTTTTTATGGAAGAGCCCGAGCAAAACCAAAGGCGCCAGTAAGGCCTACAACAGTGTACGATGAGAGCAGACATTGT